CCCCTAGATCCTTGAGGTGTGACATTAGGTTGTTAATTTATGATCTTTGTATTTTTTTGGATATAAGTATTTAACACTATAAATTTCTTTCTTAGCACTGCTTTTACTGTATTCCAGGGGTTTTGGTGTGTTGTGTCTATTTTTAGTCACTTCAAAAAAATTTCAAATTCCTGCCTTAATTTCATTGTTTACCCAAAGATCATTCAGGAGCAGATTGTTTAATTTCTGTGTATTTGTGTAGTGTCTGAGGTGCCTCTTGGTGTTGATTTCTAGTTTTATTCCACTATGGTCTGAGAAGTTACTTGATGTGATTTTTAGTTTTAAAAGTTAGTAGGTACTTGTTTTGTGGCCTAACATATGGTTTATCTCGGGTAATATTCCATGTGTTGATGGGAAGAATGTGTATTCTGCAGTTGTTGGGTAGAATGTTCAATAAATGTCTGTTAGATTCATTTGGTTTAAAGTCCAATTAAAGTCTATTTTTTTTAAATTGATTTTCTGTCTCAGTGATCTATCTAGTGCTGATTAGTGGGGTGTTGAAATCCCCCACTATTATTGTATTTTTGTTTCTTTAGGTCTAGTAATATTTGTTTTATGAATCTAGTGCTCTGGTGTCGGGTGCTTATATTTTGGATTGTTATTTCCTCTTGCTAAATTGATGTCTTTATCATTATATCATGACCTTCTTTGTCTTTTTTATTTTTGATTTAAAGTGTATTTTATCTGATACAAGTATAGCTACTTATGCTTGCTTTTGGTTTTCATTTCTTGGAATATCTTTTTCAGTCCATATGTATCTTTATTTTCAGTCTATATGTGTCTTTACAGGTAAGGTGAGTTTCTTGTAAGCAGCACATAGTTGGATAATTTTTTTTATCCATCCTGCCAATCTGTATCTTTTAAGTGGAGTATTTCATCCATTTATATTCAAGGTTAATATTGATATGTGAGGTTTTGTTTTTGTCATATTATTAATTATCTAGTTGTTTTATAAATTCTTTGCTGCTTTTTTTTTTTTCTGTTGTTTGGTGGAGTTCTATCGTGTTGCCATTTGATTCCTTTCTCTTCCTCCTTTGTGTAGCTGTTTTATAAGACCTGTCATTTTGTACTTTCATGTGTTTTTATGATGATGAGTATTGATCTTTCGTTTCCATGTTTAGGACTCCTTTGAGCATTTCGTTCCCTTAGCATTTGCTTATCTGGCAAAACCTTTATTTCTCCTTCATTTATGAAGCTTTTTCTAGTTGGATATAAAATTCTTGTCTGACAGGTTTTTTTTTTTTTTCCTTTTATCACTTTGAAAATAGCATCCCATTCTCTTCTGGCTTGCAAGATTCCTGCTGAGAAGTGCACTGTTAGTCTGATGGTGTTTCCTTTATAGGTAACTAGATGCTTTTCTCTTACTGATTTTAGAATTCTTTCCTTCGCATTGACTTTAGACAGTCTGATGACAATATGACATAGGGAAGTCGATATTTCAGTGTATTTTCCTGGGCTTCCTGTA